CTGTGATGGACTGGAGACCTGTCCAGGCTGTCCCCTGTCTTCACCCAAAGGCTCCAGCCCCCACCCTGATTAGGAAAAGGGGACAACGGATGATTTACTATAGCAGGAAATAGATGTTTTTTCATTTAACCTTTATTTCTACAGGTTAGTCTCATTGAGCCTCAGGGACTCATTTACAAGAGAGACCTGGTTTAATCAAAGAATGATGACAACAGTGGACAATCTTAAAATAAAGCATTTAAATTGAGAAGAACAAATAAAAGAAAAGAAGAAAAGTAATAAAAAACTAAACAAAAAGCTGGATTGTAAGATGATGATGTAAAATACAAAACACTTAGGAACAAGTCTGTGTTGGATTTTGCCATGAACTTTTTCATTCATTCAAACTTTATTTAGACAGATCAATCCCACTGAGCCTCGAGGACTCTTTTACAAGAGAGACCTGATTTAACAAACAACAAAACACTTAACAACTTACCAGATGTTTGAAGCCACTTAAAGGTCAAAGGTCGAGAGCTTCAAATCTTTTTGTAAGATATTCCAGGAAACAGGAGCGGAGTAGGAGAAGGCCCTTTTCTCTAGTTCAGTCCTCACTGAGGGAACACTGCAGGTAATGATGTCCTGAGAGCGCACGCTGTAGCTGCACTCACACAGAGACATGTAGGAAGAGATGTATGAAGGCAGCAGACCAGGAAGTGATTTAAAGATGAAAATGTACCAGTAGGAGAGTCTGCGTGAAGTTAATGATGTCCAGTTAACCAGTGAATACTGGGTGCAGTGGTGGGTACGATAATCACAGCCAGTTATGAATCTTAGCGCACCATGATAGACAGCATCCAACATCTGCAGCATCCAACATCTGCAGCATCCAACATCTGCAGCATCCAACATCTGCAGGGTTCTTGTAGGAGCGTTCATGTAAATAATGTCACCGTGATCAATGGAGGGAAGGAAAGTCACAGATACAAGGTGTTTCCTAACATTCAGAGTTAGACAGGATCTGTTAAACTTATACTACATATATATATATATATATATACACATACACATATATTGGTTGTATATCATATATCCTGATTGGTTGAGTTTTCAACAGATGAGGAATAAATGCACAACTGCTGTCAAAGCAGCAAAACAACTATTTCTTATCTCAGACCTCCAAAAATCTAAATGACCCCAACAGATTCTGGAAAACCATCAAATCTCTCTCAGGCACCCCCCAATCATCTGACCTCCCATCACAACTTCCCGTTAACTCTGTTCCTGTGTCAAATAAGCACGAGATCCTGAACTGTCTCAACAAACATTTTGTTGCTTCTGGTTCTTTATTTGACACAGTCACTAATGGAAAATCAGCCACTTCACTTAATAACCAAACTTCTACAAATCTAATCCATCCTACAAGTCAATCCTCAGTTAATCACAGCTTCTCTTTTTCTCCATTCTCAGTCAGTGAGGTCAATAAACTGTTAAAAGATCTTGA